ATAATTTTACCGTAATCAACAAAGCTTTCGTAATATTTATTGTGTTTAATCAAGGGAAAATTAAGCTCTCTTGATTTTCTTTATGTTTTCATTCGCTTTTGTTAGAAAACTGACAGATTTTAAGTGTTTTCCGGCGCTGTAAGAAAATAAAGACATATTGTGAAGCCCTCTATATTGTAAACCATATATATGTCACTTCTCAAAATTTGCCTTAGCAGCTTCACTCGACAATCTGTGATCTTCTTTTCGCGAAATTTTAGTAAAGGAAGGAGAAAAGACGTCTTTTAACTTGTTTGCCTTCCTCTACCGCCTTCTCTCCATCCTTTGGGCTTCAGTTTGCAAAATATATTTGAGTATGAGACAGAAAATACAGATATCAGTAATGCATATATGTAAAAGGTTATCGGAGAGGAAAGTTGCGTCACATGCAACATGAGTTGCCGGGTAAACTTCCGAGATTAAGCACCACCCTGTAACCATAACAGACAACAGTTTCTTTTTTTGCGATGTTTCTGAGAAACTCGACAGAACTATTGATTCTTTTTGAACTAACTTCGCACCCTAAGAAACACTCTGAACGCTTAGGAGGTCATATCGCACGTTCTTAGCCAAGTCTTAGACTTCGTACTGCGTGTTAAGTTTTTTTGATTTAGGTTTCTGAAAACTAATTTATGTTAGTTTACTAAATTGTTTTTTGGGGGTGGCCAACCTATGAGGAAACTTGTTCCTTTTTCTTGGCCTTCCCCTCAGTATTATGTTAATTATTTATATTTTGCTGATAAATAGGCTGGTAGCCCCTACTTGCCTTTTAAGCTCGGTTAACTTTACTCCTCTGTCAAGTGTTGAGCGGACTACTTTAAAAGCCCATTTTAGCAATACAACTTAGTGACGTATATCGGGCAAAAAAGGTGTCTGGTATAATTAGGAATGAGGTTTACCTGGTTTTCATTCCTGTAAGACGAGAACCTAAAGTGTAACAGGAGAAAGAGATTTCGATTGTCGGTGATAACGGACCCAATGGTCCTATCGATACATCGAGAAGCCCGCCTTACATTTCTGCACATCCAGATTGTGTCAGGAAAGCCAAAATCTTCAACCTGTGGAAGGAATTTAGCACTGGCGCAAGAGGGACATTAAGTGCATACATGACAGCTCCAGAATACCTGTTCTGATCTGAATAGCCCAATTTTCTAAGAATACCTGTGGTTGGACTTCTCAGAACTGACTGACACGGCTCCTTCAGCCCAGGGGCCACCATATGATCAAAAGCAAGAGAATACGATCTGTCAAAAGTCAGTGACCAACATTTTATCTTGAAATAAAAACAACCTAACCAGAACGTTCAGAAGCATATCGCCTAGGTGATATGTTTCTGGTACGTTACGTCCGTACGTTACTATACTTGATTCCTTACATTGCGTCAGCATTGCAAGAACAACCTCCTTCCCAGGCTCCTTTTTCTTCCTCATATTCACAAGAAGAATAAAAGGCAAGTTTTATTTGAGTAACTGAATTATGAGAAGGCTAATCGACTGAAGATTGTGAATCGTTTTTTCTAGAATCCCGGGACTAGAATAAAGAACACCGTTTTCATTTGTGCGAGAAAGCGCAGTACTTCACGGCTACGTAACAACGTTTCCACTCGTTTAGACTGGGAACGATAGTATGTCAGTATACTTGTCAGCGGCAACATGTAGCTCCAAATGCGTCGTATCCAGTAGCAACGCGCGCCAGGATAAAACTAAAATCAAAAGACGATAGAGCAAAAAGAGTTGTACTGTTTTTGTAGTCTTGTTGTTGTAAGTTTGTCGTTCACAGCCAAGCGCCATGAGTGAAATAGAAGCTCTCGAACTTCACGCAATCATTGGATTTGCAGGTACGTTCAAATTATTTAACTCAAGACTCCTTTTTGCTTGTACAGCAATGACTTGTCTTGTAAGGTTTTAGACTTCTAGGCTGCACGGATTGGAAATGTTATAATGCTTAAGCTTACATTATGGAAACGAACGTTTTACAGGTGAAGTTCCAGGAGGCCTGTTGGTCAACAGCGACAGAGAGCATCTTATCTATCCACTTGGCAACAAAATCGTTGTGGAGGAAATAAAAGAGGAGAAAAAGGCGGCTTCAGGAGGTAGAGGATCCGCGACAAGAGTTAACGGTAAAAGCAAGAATACACCCGAAGATCGAAGGATGCGTCAGAGATTATTGTCAGGGCAAGGCGACAAAGGCCTGGCAGTTTCTTGTCTAGCAGTTTCCAAGAGTGGGAAGTATCTGGCATCTGGCGAAAAGACTCACATGGGATTTAAAGCCGATGTCATTGTGTGGGATTTTGAGAGGGGCACCATAAAACATACCCTGGATCCACTGCACAAAGTTAAAGTGGAAGCACTCGCGTTCTCTCCAAATGACAAATATTTAGTGTCCCTTGGAGGGCAGGATGATGGATGGTAAGTCAACTGTATTGAACGAGGTTGCATGTGATAGCAGAAATTATCATCAAGGCTAGTGGTTGTGTTGCCATACAGACAACAGAGACCTAATTGATAATTTTGCTATCAGGGTAAAACCTCATCTTTTATGAAGTGTGTAATTGTTCATTAATCAAAATTATAACAAACTTCATGGCTCTGATCAGCTATCAGTAACCCCTGTTTTTGCCCAAATAGGATATTGCACACATTGCAAGTGTAATCAGACATTTTATTATATGGCTAGCTCTGTGAATGGGCAAGATGAATCAAATCCTGCACCGTGATTGGCTACCCGAGTGGGCAAGATGGAGCTATCTTGCCCGCTCGAGACTGACCATCGTGTCCCACAAGAAAAATTTCCCCGAAGCTTGTTCAGTCAAGATGGCTGGATATTGGCTCATTCTTTTTTTGCGAGTTTATGGACCTTGACTTCGTCTTGGTCCATAAACTCATAAAAAAAAGAACTTGGCCAATATCCAGCCATCTTGACCTCACAATTGGTCAATAACCCATATGTATATGGCATGCAAGTAATTGGACAGTATGTGTCATTTTGCATGGGCTGCATTTTGGACAGTTAAACATGCTAGTAAGAATAAGTTCTCTTTCTTGTGTATCTTGCTCAGAGACAAACTCAACTTTCATAAGTGTATGGTTATGGTAATTAGAGATGGTTCCAAAAAGCAATTTTGAGGAGGGTTTAAGCCATAGGCCTCTTTGTTGTAGTGGAGAGGGCATCTGCCCTGGTAGATGTTTGCTATTTGACGCATTTTGTAAGACCTAGAGTTTTATCAGCATGCTGAACTGGTAACTCTTTGATCATGAAATGATCAAAAATTTTTTGTAGCTCCATAGCTGTCAAATGAGTGATTCCAGAAAGTATCCATACTTAACCAAGGGAGATATCTTTATCTAAACCCTTCCTTAGCTTCAGAAAATTAATTCCAAAATCCTCAACCCCATCCCCCACCTCCTCCTTTGCCTTAAAGTATTCCAAACTGTTTTATCCCCCATGCTTTTGGAACTCTCTAATCATTCAAACCCCCCTTCCAGAATTCCTGCTTTTTCTTTACAATGATTTGAAGAGCCCTCTCTCAGTTTTTACATTGTTCAGTAATTGCTGTATTGGTGGCAGTACTGCAGAGGTTAGACCCTTCCAATAAGTTGTACTAAGGATGCCATGTCTGCAGATTTCACTGTGGTACATTGGTAAATATGTTTTATTGATGGCTTGGTTTTTCTTAAATTAGTTAGCTTTTACAAGGGTTTCATGAAGGGTAGGGCACTGGGCAAATTTCCAGGCTATGAGGCTGATTTTTCCTTCCTAGTTTGACCATCTGACTCAGGAATTTTTTTGTTAGAAAGAAGTTCAGTTCAAAAAGTTTTGCCTGACTCTAAAAACCAGTTGCCTTCCTGTTGAAAACGTTAATGAAACACCTGATTTACAGGGCTTGAAACTAACAGTTAGCACATAGCCAAAGACTAATAAGAAAGGGTTTGGTTATTTAGTTTTGTACCCCTGTGTACTAGCCACCTTGGTTAGGGGAAAACTTGAGAACAGTTAACCCTAAATATGCAGCAGTGAATGAGCAGTTGCATAAACTTTCACGAAAAAGTCTAAATTACTATTCAGATCACCTAGGAGAGTCAATACAGAAGAGACTTCAAAGAAAGATAGTGTCTGCAAGTGAATTTATGAAAGATCATATATTTGAACTGCGGAGAGGGATATGAAGACATGATTAATCATCGCAGTTAATATTATACACAACTTAGGCAGCTGTGAAATTTAAGCCTGAAAAAATTTCAATTCAAATTCAAGATTTTTTTTCAGTCTTTAATTTCACAGCTGCCTAAGTTATGTAGATAACTGTGATGATCAATAATTATGTCTTCATAAAGATGGCTTATGATGTCTTTTTTCTGAAAAGTGTAAAAACATATTTTATTTAGCTTTCCAATGATTAGTCACAGATAGTGTATTTTTGCTATTATTGTCTGCTGGACCAGAGCCCCTGCCTCCTCCCACCTTCTCACTGTTCCATTACCTGACTAGAGGAAGCTTATTTTGTCTAGAAGCATAACTCATTAGCAGTGACATCTTGATAACCACTAGGCCAATATGTAAAAGTTTATCTTGAGCCATGATTTGTAATAATCCTCACGGAATTCCCTTTTTCGTTGTGTGTAGTATTGTCGTGTGGGATGTCAAGACAGGCTTGGCTATTTGTGGAAGTACAGCCGGGGCTCCCAGTGCTGGTTGTACATTTGCAGTTGCTTATGCCAGCTTGAGTGATGAGATGTTTGTCACTGGTGGAGAGTAAGTAAAAAATATAATTTGTTTAATTTAGTACTTCATGAAACTTACTTGTAAATGTTAGAGACTTGAGTAACCTACATATTTGTATTTTCCTTGACTAAAAGCCTAAGAACAACTTTAACCCACATAATGTCTAAAAAGTACACATTTCAAGATAAGAAAAATGCAAAAGTAATGAGGTCAGAGCCTAATATTGAACTTGACAATCCCTTATTCACACCTGAAAGATACTGTTAGAGAAGTATGAAATGAAAAAAGTTACACCATAATGACAATCATATTAATTTTAGATACCAGACAATGACCACCTTTGTGGTTCTGACCCATTTATTTATCGAGTTATAGAAACATAAGTGGAAGCTTGGGAGAATGAGAAATACTTTGGGAACATGAGCCAATAGGTGAGTGTTTCCACACCTTTTTTTAGTTCTCCCAAACTTTCACAGGTGTTTCTATTAAACAATTAGATTATGAGCTCAAAATTTCTATCACTATAGAAATCGAGAGCGAATAATCTAATTGTCTTAGTATAAATCTACTAGTCGTTCAAAACTTTATCGAAATCCTCTTCACAGACACTTCAGAAACGCCAAGAAGCACCCATCATTTTGTTAACCAGTGCACACCGCTACGCTACTCACTATCTATCACAGAATAGTTAGTGAGTAGTGTAGCTAATCAGACAATGGCATTTCTGATAGAAGGCTAATGGATTTATACTAAAACTCAATAGAAACACAGAGAAAATGTTTTTCATCTTTTTAAGAAAACAGCCCAACAAAAACTGTGAACTATGTGACTACTACAACTTTTGCATGTTTGTATTGAGTCATAGAAATATGATTATCATTTTTAACCAATTTCTTTGGGCTATTTTCTAAATTACTATGGTAACAGGCAGTTCAAACTGTTTGCTTACATAACGAATTTTGACAACACCAACACAAGACATTCAATAGTTTACAGAGGATGCATCAGTCAGGAAGAACACAAAGACTGACTAACTTAGGATGACCTAAATCTTCTGCCAAAGCCTAAATAGTCCCTAAACGTCCTGTGACACCTCACTAGCCTCTCCATCATGCTGTCAGAATAATAATTTCTGACTGATTTGTGCATGACTCAATTGTTAGAAATTTCATCCCGTTTAAATATCAGCCACTGAATGTCTCTTAATTATGGCATGTATATCTTTTTTCCCATTGTACTTCCAGTAAGACTTTGAGGGTTTGGGAACTTGACGTAGAAAATCGCAAGATACGTCCTGTTGAAGTCTCTATGGGACAGTTAAAACGTGCAGTTAAATGTATTCAGGTAAGTGATATCATATTATTATATGTAAATTCTTGAAATGGAGATCAGTAGCTATCAGTGTATAGCATCGATATATAGTATATAGCATAGCAGAGACACCATCAACTGTGTTATAACAGAAATGACTATGATGGCAAATTTACAATACTGTCATTGCATGGACTTAACTTGGGAATTCTTTTAATTTCTGAGCAGATGAGTAATGATGACTCAAAATTTTACTGTGGAACTACCACAGGGGACATTCTTGAGGTAAATTATTTTAGTATGGATAATATATAGTAAATAATTTGTAGATTTTGCACATTAGTATCTTGTTAGGTTTCTTTCTTTTTTTCTGTGCCTTTAAATAGTATGCAGACTCTAAAATTCAAAGTTCAAGTGACAAATGGGTTTTTCGCTACCATCAATCAAATGTTCAATGGCCCCTCCTAGCTTCCGACTTCTGCCAAGCACTGTTTTGTTGTCTGAACTGTGCTCAACGATTTGATTACCGTGCACTCTGCAGTAGTCAGAAGCTGGGAGGAGCTGCCGAACATTTGATTGATGGTAGCGAAAAACGCATTTGTCGGTTGAGCTTTGAATTTAAGAGTCCGCAAGTTATTGAAAGGCGCAGTAAGCGTTGACAGCATACTGAGCTTTTCCTGTTGGCAAGTAGTGGATGCAAATGTTTGTCTGTCTGCACAATTACTCTGACTGTAATATGTGACAAAATGAGCTTGAAATTATTTTGTAATCCCATACAACACCACTTCATTACTCATACTTTGTGCAATATCCTTTGCCTGGAAATGTTTTCAGATCAATTTGAAGAGTAAATTGATGACTAACTATGGCCCCAGTGACAATGAGCGTTTCAGCCTTGGAGTGCTGGCTATTCGTATTCTCATGGATGGGAATTTGTTGGTTGGTGCTGGTGATGGAACAGTTGCCATCATGAAAATTGTTAAAGGAAAATTCAAGAAAATTCAGTGAGTTCAGCTCTGTTTCTAGAATTAATTAATTAATTATATATCTGGAGTGCACGTTTGTCATAAAAATAATGAAAACCCAGTTGTAGCCTCTTTGGCTGAAAATAGAGTTGAGGTCAGCACACACGAGGGGGCTAGTCCCTGCAACTAGTCCCCAGAAGGGTTTACACAAAGGGACTGGTCCCAGGGATTTGTCCCACGAATAGTTCACACGAAGCATAATTTTTTGAGAAACAAGTTGCAGGCACTTGTCCCAATGAATTTTGTGGGACTAGTTGCAGGGACCAAATTTTAGTCCCTGCGACTGGATTTTGTGGTAAAAATAGTTAGTTCACACGACGGCACTTCGTGTGTTTCGACCTCTAAATACAAAAGTAAAACACAAAACATAGCATACATTGTGCACCAACAGCTGCCCTCACCTGCAAGATGATTATATACTTAGTAAAACTCAGTCTGATTCTCTGACACTGATCGTTATCATGAATTTTAGGTCTGTCCAAGTGGATGGTGGAATTACATCTATAGCCTTGCGAGGCCAAGGACATCAGGTTTGTAATGAAGTTAACTATGTTTATTTTTATGTTATTATATTGTTTCAAATGAAAAAATAACTACTACTGGCCACAGTTAACAGCTCTAGTCAACTGCTTTCTGGTGTAGTAGAAGATAACCCTGAACTGATGAGAGATAATACCGTCTTGTTTTACCAACAATAAAATCAGAAAGTTAAAGTTAGCGTTTTTATGGTAAAACAGATAGGCCTTCAATTGAAGAAATAGTAATTATATTTATAGCCCCCTAGCAGGCTAGAAAATTCAAACCAACTGAAAGTTGTCAAAATGTTTTAAACAATGTTGCTCTTAAAACTTTGGTGGAGCAAGTGATTGCCTATCGATCCAAGAATGATTCACTCAGGTACAGTCTGGGTGTGCAGGCATACGGTTTAACCCACTCCTCTGATTTGCAAGTCTGCAAAAGTGACATGCGTTAGTTAAATAAACTTTTTTAGGCTTCATTAAAAGTTTTATTTAAACTCCATATCTTACATTACACTACTTACAAGTTACAGTACATTAATTACAATGTAATGCTTGTTATTTACAACACGTTACAAATAACCTTTACAAGTTAGAATAAGTCCTCTACTAAATTATAGTCACTAGGCCTATTTCCAGAGCTTATTTGAATTAACTTTGACGTACTGTAATATTATTATTTTGCAGTTTTTCATAGGGACGAAAAACTCGCAGATGTACCTGTTCAGTTACAGTAATTTTGAAGAATATGACAGGATCAAGACCTGTCACTGTTCCCCAGTCAATGATGTCATATTCCCTTGGTAAGTCAACATTTAAACCCGTAGCATGCTTCAAGAAACTGACTGCTCTGGATGTAGAGGGCTGCAACCTTGAAACATATGCTTTTCTAGAGTAAACTGTTGTTGTTGAAACCTATTCCACACAAGTTTTGCCTTCAAGTTACTCTCAAGCATTTCTTTTAGCAACAATTTCGCATTAAATTTTGCGAGAAATTAAATGTACAACGTATTTGACCAGTCGCCACTGGCAATTTTTTAGGTTTAGCTGACAAAATACTACTTAAACCAACATGTAATTAAATTTCGTCTTGCCATCAACTCTGTGATCTTGGGCCACTCACGCCTGTATGTCCATCATGCAAACCTTACCAAATCATCCATTGTCTAACTTATAACTCAGTTGGTTTTAACTAGCCTGTGTATGTGTTTACAGTGGCAGTTCAGACCTGATTCTGACTTGTGCTAAGGCTGAGATCCGTATTTGGTCGACAAAGACGAACCAGGAGGTTGTACGCATCACAGTTCCTAACATCACATGTAACGCTATTGATATCATGCGTTCTGGAAACAGCATCATAAGTGGTAAGACTAACTTCATTGCTAAACCTTTGGGGTGAAATACTCCCTGGGACTTTTAGTTGGAGTGGTCCACCCAGTTCATCAAAAATCCTGGCTCTAAGATAGACAGAAATACGTCATTTTGTATGTTTCCGTTTGCAGATCTGTTCTCTTAAATCCATGCTCGTTTTGAGACCTGCCTGTTCGCGTATCTGAGTTTCAAATTGCGCTTTGTTGCTATGATTGAATGGGATTTCTTTGGTTTCATCTCCTTCCTTTTTCTTTGAAGGTGGAACGGCCCGATGAAGAAGAAAGATATGCGTACATGTGTGTTCGCTCATGTGTTTTCCTAGCTTCAGACCAGAAAGCTAACTCATTTTAAATTTCTGATTGAAACGGCGAAATCATTGACCCATTTTCTGACCAAAGCGGCTCAAAACCTAAGTGTTTTAAGCTGGCACAATATAGATTGAGATCAGTTGTTCAAAGTTATAATGTTACACTAAAAATACTTACTGTAAGAAAATGATTACTCTTGTGTAGTTGTAAAACTGGACGGGGTTAATTTTCTGCAATGATAGTAGACATAATAAGCCCAGACGTTGTGTGTTTTGTTACTTTTATCTTGTTCAGGTTGGGATGACGGCAAAATACGCGCATTTACACCAGAGAGCGGCAGGTTAATTTATCAGATAGAAAACGCCCACAAGAGTGGCGTCACAGCTATAGCGGCCGTTGGTGACGAGAAGCGTATCATCAGCGGGGGAGGGGAGGGTGAAGTACGTGTTTGGGAGGTGGGCGGCAGTGGGAAACAGAAAGGATCCATTACTGGAACACTGAAAGGAGCCATTAAAGAACATACAGGTAACAATTACAGAGATAACCACAACAAACAAAGCTAAACAACAACAGTTGTTTTTTTGTAAACATTTTATCCTATTAATCATGTCCTTAGGTTTTTCGTTTACCTGAAAATGTCAACACCCAAACCACAAGGGGTTCTATATTCGAAAATCTCTTCCATCGATGCAAACCTAAAACGAATTGCCTAGTTTTTTAAAAATTACTTTACTAGTGCTCTGAGGTTACAAAAGAGTTGTAACTGTGAGACAGGCGTTTAGGAGGCTTTGATCTCAAATTGAAAAAGTTCGGCTTGCAGACTTTTTCAAACTCTGCCCTTTGTTCTTGAAAAATTGCTCGAAACTAAGTGCAACATCTCCCTTTGACAATCTTCATCTTGGCATTTTGGGCGCATCTCGTATATGAACAAAGGTACTTACTCATATTCTCTTTGCTGTTTATGAGCTCTTTCTATTTGTGTACCATTTATCATGACTTGTTCAAACCAATGAAAGCAAAGATAGGGTTTTTGTTTTTGTGCCAATCAGGTACAGAACCGGGACCACACGTGACATGGCACAAAGGCTTGTAATTGCCTAAGGAGTCACTGCCTCGGACTGAAGTATCTCAGTTGTTCAGGAGTTCGTATCTTTCTGAGCTCAACAAACTGTCTTCCTTGCCCCTTGCTTCCTCTGGTTTTATCTCTGCCTCCTCCACAGGTTTTTCTTATTTTTTTTAGTGCAAGGGGCGATTGGGAGACTGGGAGTGAGCAAGAAGGTGCGAGCGTGAGCTGGTAGCGAGTGAGGAGCTCGAACGCAGGGAACCATTATTCCCTGCGCCCCTCCTCACTAGTTAATTATTATATCTTTCACTATCGCGAGGGCGGGCTGGGGACGAGGCAGGTTTTGTCCAATATTTTCGTCAAATACATATATATAACTCAAATTACTGGCTAACAGCTTTTCTTGATATTTTTCGTAGCTGCCGTGACATGCATAAAAGTTCGTCTCAACCGATGTCAACAGGTAACTTCAGTTTCCAATGATAACCACCGTTGATTTTTGATTTTGATGTAACAATGTAGACCCCTCTTGTGACTCACATTAATTTGATCTTTCTTCCTAGCTGGAGTGTGTATCAGCCAGTAAGGACGGCACATGTATTGTCTGGAACTTAGAGTAAGTATAAGTGTTGTCCTCTTTACTGAAACAGCTCTGAAATGTTCGTTTGTTTTTCATCGTAGACAATACAGTTAAGTCTGTCGGAAAAGGAATAAATAGGTTTGTTGCTTGTTGTGAAAATATTGATTTTCGTTTCATGGCGACTTTGAAAAATTTCTTCACGAAAACCTGACAAGAAACCTACCATTGAGCTGTTAGCTGTCTGAGCCAGTATATTTAGCTGATTGAACCGCTACTAAACGTACAAAATAACTTTTTTTTCCTGGAATAATCGACGTGAAAATGCCAAGTTCGACAAGAAAGAACGTAATAATATGTTTTGGACTTTGTGTGCGAGATACAGAGAAGGCGATTGGAATTCCTCGCTAAATACACATTTTTGTTTTTTACTTTTCTAGGGCAATGGGACGGAGCGCAATCGTATTTGCCACTACCATGTTCAAGGCGGTCTGCTACAGTCAAGATGAAAGCCAGATCATTACAGCTGGTACAGACCGCAAAGTAAGCCACGCTATACTCAGTGATTCCACCAATCTCTTCATGCAAAAACGTACAGTTTACTTACAAATCAGAATACTACGGAAACGAGACGCGAAGAATACGCATGAGTTACGCTAGAGTCGACAAGTACGAGTTCAGCCCTGGGCGGAGTCAGTTTGTTGTGTTCTTTTGCAAAAAAAAGCCTCTTTTCACCCAAGAATATAAATGGCAATAGCGTCAGGGAACTATTTAGGAAACAGACCTAATGCTGATGGGAGGTGGGGGGGGGNCACCGGTGATGGACTGGTATCTCAGGGGAGTAGGATTACTCCAAGTGAGTTTATGCTCCAGAAACTAGAGATTGGCTCCTCCAGTCACTTGAAATCAAGTAGACTTTAAGAAGGAATCAACCTGAAGTCCGAGTAACAAGCGGACAACAACTTTGTACCGAGATTATTTACATCATATTGCAAACTTCTGTGACTGTTTTCAATGTCTTCTCAGAAGAAATCATTTTTAACAACACCGAATATCGATAACAAATTTTGAGAAGTTCATATAAGACACATGAAATTGCTGGTGATATGAAACTGATTATGAAATTTTACTTGTGTTTGCACAGTTCTTCTGAACTTTGAAATTTATTTTCTCGAGTTCCCATGTTAATTGTTTTCGGTGTTATTTCGGGCAACTATTTATATCTTTAACTTTAAGAAAATGTAAAAAGGACTGTAAAATACCTAAAATAATTCTGGTACAAGGCTTTTCTCGACTATAAACTGAAATTGCTCGATTTCCTATGAGATTTCGTCTTAACACTTAAATCTTATGCCAACAGATTGCGTACTGGGAAACTTTTGATGGATCTCAAATACGCGAATTGGAAGGATCAACGCGCGGCTCTATAGATGGAATGGACCTATCCCCTGACGGCTTACACTATGTCACTGGAGGAGATGACAAAGAAGTTGTGGTATGTGATGTTTTATTTCCTCCGATAAAGATGAAAAGCTTCAGTTGCGAGTAATTTTTTAATGTTTTCCTTAAAGTATGACTTTAATTTTGCAAGCAACATTTATGTAAACGTACTTGCAACGTACAATATTGAACCAATTGTACCAAGAATACGGTAGCTCGCAATACTTCCAAGAGTGGGATTCCAAGAGTGAGTATTCTTGTTATCTCTCACGATCGCTGCATGATTTCTGAATTGTCATGTCTTTGTTGTTTAGCTCAGGATATATATTTCCCCCTACTGGTACAATATTCCTTAGTTGAATTTCTATGTTCTTCGCACTTGTCTGTTTGATATTGTATTGTTATCGGAAGGAGAAATAGGATTTTTATAACAGTGACGTGTAAATGGAAACCCGCCATTGCTTTAATTACTCAATCAGGTAATAAACGGTTCGTTAGACGTTAGATATGGGTTTCTGTAGCATTTTAAACAGGCAATGCATTTCAGAGGGTTCAGTACGTGGAGAGGGCTGACCTTTGCCCATTTTCCAGAGGCAACATATTGTCCTGTTTTGATGAAGTATCAACTCTTTACAACATTAGCTCTTGCTATATTGAAAACATCGCATCGGTTGAAAAATGCAGTATGTTTTAACTATGAAAGTAGGGACCCCCGAAACTCACGACTCTAAGAAAGACAAAGTAGCGACAGAAAAAGGCTGCTAAGGCCGAAAAGTAACGAGGGCCGCTACGTTCGATATATTTTAGCCTCTTCCAGGCGTTGAGTTAGGGGAGAGGCTGGGTCTACTTTCTTTAATATCTAAATACAACCTTTCTTATTAGGTGTGGAAGTACAACGAGGGACAGAAAACGCATGTTGGAAAAGGTCACGCAGGGGGGATAGCAAGAGTGAAGATTTGTCCTCACCAAAAGTGGATTGTCTCCATAGGAACGGACGGAAGCATTCTGAGATGGAAATATCCCCACTAAAGATCCTTACTTGTTATTGTATAACTCTGCCATTACGTTTTGTATGAGACTTGAGACAGCTGAAGTGTATATAGGTTGCTAATGTATGCAACATTCGAGTCTTGAACTGTCATGTTTACCTTTTGTTAAGATCAGATGCTCAAAATAACACTGAGCTCTTTGTAATTATTCCCTCTTTTTTACGTTAAGGGTAGATTTGTCGGTGAATTAGGACTTCTCATTTTTTGGGTGTCAATTGTTGCAGATGCCTGTGTAATTTTTTGAACTACTTAATTTAAAGTATTATTCAAATGCGAGGTTCAGTATTATTCAAATGTGTGTACAGCTAGATCCTTTCTGCGCAAATTGACAATTTTTGCGAAGCACTGTTGCTATTTTGGCAAAACATTAACATTTGCTATGAACAAGACACGCATTTCTTAAAAGGTTGGACGTTTAATCTGACATTCTTTCAACTCTGCTTGTCGCAAAAATTTTGATTATTTTCTTACGGGCAGGTGTTAGGGAAGACACCATATTTTATGTAAAAACAGTGTGTTGTTGTAGTAATGCTCCCTCTTAGGTTTGCGGCGCATTTCATTAGCATAAATATGTATAGTTAAAAGGTCATTAAATATTGTAGCCTTGTTGAAAAGTCTCGTTTACAATTTTTCTTTCTTGAAATTTTTAGAAATTAATTCCTAGAAAAGAGATTATTAGATCTTCTTTTGTCTAGAGTGCGCACGCATATCAGGAGGTTAGCAGCTATTTCGATTTTGTACGTATTAACAAAACCGACCTTTTTACATTGACAAGAATTTATGACATGGAGCTTAAGAATTGAGATTAAAAAGCGCACAATTTGGCATTTATGAGAACAAATATTGCATAAACGATTGTCTGAAGGTAAATAGGGAATTCAGTCAATAATTATTAAAATATTTACAAAACCGGCGTAACCCGTCAGACATTGCTTCCTGTGTTAAATATATGTAAAAACTAAACTTTTTATACCAGACATCGACAGAAACGCAATTGCATGTAATACAATCCATGTGATGCTCGCAGATGTAGAAGATGCCGATTACAAATGAACCACATTTCATTAGCTTGTTGCCGTAAACTCTTTCATGACGTCCTTTATAAAGTGATTTATCCCACTTGTCTATGTTTTACATGTAACCGTTGTTTTTACACAACTGAAATGGAAATCAAAATAAAGTGGAGCAAAGAGATGAAAATCAGTCGCGCTTCCGAGGTGGTGAAGATTTTCATTGTGGAATTTACAAAGCACTGTCTTGGGCGATGAACCGGCGCCGCAGAATTCTTTCTCCAAATATCTATAACTTTGTTTTTAGGTTATCTTTTCGCTTTCGGATCAATCCTCACAAGCAGTGAGGTCAGGTTTAATTATAGGTGAGCGAACCATCGTTTTAGCGGGTTAGAATGAAACGAAATAATGTTTTGAGCTGGTTAAATGGCCTTAAACCAGGGGCCTTAAACATATTTCTTGTTTTGGCGGGCGTTTGGCAATTTGTATGACCTATTTTCTTTATAACATTTCAGTTTTCGTCAATTTATCTTCAGTTAGTTGACTGGATGGTTTACTTTTAATTTATCAGGTCGGATCTTGTTTTCATAATTGTTCCTGAGTTACCACTAAATAACCCCAAAACAGGTTCAACACACTGCAGTTAAATGAGCAGGCACTCCGCCGCTATACTGGGTAAAAAGGTGCAGCCAAATTTATGCGTAGGCGATTCCCGTTTCACAAGGTTTGAAACAGGAAAACATTTTTTTAACGGTCTGTTTGGCAGCTTGTTTGATCCCTTGAATTCTCCAACAGTATAGAAGCGGGTTTAGAGAAGAATTGAACAAAACTAGAGTTCCGCACCAGTAAAAGGCCGCCGTAACACGATCGTCCCAGCCCGTGTACTGACCGACGATCTTCAGACAAACGTAGGGAAGGTAACAGACAGAAAGAGACGCATACACATACAGAGTGCTATAGAAAGACCTTCTGTACGTCACCATGTTAAAGCAAGAGTCATCTACACTTCTTTGATGCTCAATTGATTGTAGATTACGTTTAGTGCAGTGAAAAACTTGCCTTGTGCTTTGCTTGCGTATCGCACTGTACACCAGAATGCAACATACAGAACTAACGAGCGCACATAGAAAGATTCCACCGTAATTTGCCCCCAAATAAAGAGGATAATACCAGACGTATGCTGATGACATGACCGCGCTTAAAATGTGTGAAAATATAAGAGTCAAAGATACTCTTCTGAGTGTCACAGTTTCTCTGTATCTGAATTTCAAACGCAGTGCGAGGAGGCGATCCACACTGATGGCTGTCATTGTCAGTAGTGAGACTGCACATAAAAACACCGATAAAACGTTGTGAAGAGCGTGGATTGAGCCGTGAGAATTGCTTGAATCGCCGTGTGAGTTCATCTCGGTTAAAAGATATGCCAGGTACAACGGATGTCCAATGAGGCCAACACCAAGATCAGACAGAGCTAAGCTTAAGTACAAAGCTTTAGATGGAGCGTGAAGTGAAGAATTCTTTCGCAGCGAAATAGCGATCACGATGTTTCCAAACGTGGCTGTAAATGAGAGCAGGACATTAAGAACGGAATTCCCTATATATGATACCAAGAGAACGTGGGATAACTTTGGAGCAGTTGAAGAGTTGAGGAAGCTCTGCTCTGTCATGTTGTAGGAACAAATTAGCTCTCTTTTATCGCCAGAAATCAACAGTGAGATTTTGGCGCGACGGAGTCACAAGCCGGCCGGTAAAATCGGAACAAACATTTCAACGTGGCTAGCTGACTGCTAGATTCATCTGGCGAAAAACTGATGAAAGGATATACGACTTTGAATTCAAGGAAGTGAAGTGATCACGTGCTACAGATCACTGAAACAAAAGGAAAATGAGTCATTTTAGTTGTAATTTAAACAAGAAAAGAAAAACAAGATACAAATAACAGCGCCGATCTTACCGATAACGCACCATGTTTTGTAATTTTTACCAAACTCAAACAAACCGTACTTGTATTTGCGGATTATGCTGTATTCCTCTCTGAATATTTCTTGGTTCCCTAACTTGGGAACAGCTCAATGCTTTTGACTGTTTTATTGATCTGGTTTTTTACGTTTATCTGTGTTTATTCTAAACTGTCACGCTAACCAACTGAGTAGAGACAATTTCTATTCATTTGGCCAATCAGGTTACAAGATCTCGTCAGTAATTGTCGATCAGCATTTATATACGCAGTTAGATGACTTGACTCATGTTTTGTCTGACAAAAATGAGACGTGTGGATTGTTCAGAGTGATGAAAATACTGAAAAAAAAAGTTTCCAAACAACACGCAATCGTGCAATCCGTCTTAAGATGTATTAAGTTTTATTGCAAGTGTTCAGTTGGCAGAAAAATGCTTACGTATAGTTTTAAAAAATTATAAGCAAGAAGTACGTCCTAATGGAAAGGCTCATGTTTTGAAACAGGATACCGCCATTGCCATTAGCACACATACATATATGGCTTTGTACAGATTCTTTCTCCGGATTTATCACTAGTTTGGCGTGAGCAATTGATTCAGTTTTAATTCTACAGGAAGCGAAAAATAGTCGATAGATCTGAGAAGCTCAGAAGCTCTCCACTCTGTTGTAAATGTGCTCGAGAAAATCTTGCAAATTGACACCCAACATAAAGCTTTTATTTGGGAATGAATGATTAACAACCGTTACAGAACAAACTCTTCTTTCTGGGGAAAAGGGAGACACACATGCTGTATTTTCAAGCCGTTCAGTAAACAGGTGTTGAACCAAGTTTACCGGTAAAACATCTTGAAAAATTTGGCCTAACGTGTCCATGTCCCCGGTCAAAATGAATCTTCGACATTCTCGAACCCAGAGCTATTCGTTTTTGCGTGCAGAAAGCTGGGGTCGAGAATGAATCTTTCCCCATCGAAACACCCAATCCAGATTATTTGTTTGGGAAACTATTTTAATACAACAGCACAACAATGAAAATGAAAAGACCACCGCGATAGTAACGACGTACAGCTTCCGTTCGAAAGTACACCTGTCATTGGTCGAGTGATGCACAAACGAGTGACGAACCGCAACCACCAGCAAAGATGGGTCGGAGAGTAGGGTGGGTGAGATGTGGAATTGACTGTTCAAAAAGGCGCTCAAGAAAATTAAGGCCTGGCTTTGAGACTTTAAAGTGAGGGGGTGGTCTAATTTTTTAAGCATTTTAAAAAACGCCAGAAAACTGATGATAATGATAGACAATCCTTATTTGCGAATGTCTTTGTTTTTTTCTCTTAAATTATGACTGAAAGACTGTGTGGTTTTTGTATGATTCTGTTCAGACTAAACACTGATTTTTCCAAACCGACATGGAAATTCATGATTATTCTTTAAAAGGGGGTTGTTAGAGGTATTATAGCCACCGATATTCCACGATCTGAATACACCACCATTTAAGAGTTGATAGCCTGTATATAAAAGTAAATCAAAAAATATAATGCATAGATAATATAATGAAGGAACAGATGACACCAAATCGTTTGCTCGCCTCTCCAGCTAGTACCCTGAATAAAATTTGAAACTTCCGTTGTTCGACCTTCGGGCTACGTATCCAGCACAAATCTTAACTTCGAGATTTCACCGTCGCTCTATACTGCAATCGTGCAAGATTGTTGCCATAAGGTTTTAAGCAAAATTTTCAAAAAGAATTTGAGTTTAAGTTTTGGTACAAAAAAATTTGCATAGCGACAGATTTGGTATATTATCAAAATTAAACTGTCACACCTATTTTATATATAACAGGCGGTTCATTTAACCCCTTTTTTAATCCTTCGATGACAATAATTAAACTGGAATTGCAAAGACGAAAAACTCCCGAAGGCAGCACAGTTTGTGTGACCGTGAACAACTGAAGTTCAAAATGTCTTTCCAGCGGAGAACTTTCAGGTCTATCAGCTTTTACAAATGATACGAAGATTCAGTTTGCACAGTATACTCACGCTGAAAGTTGACTCCTCACCCGTCTTCAGGTATATGTCAGTAGCTTTTTTCTTAAGTATTTGAGGACCTTTCAGTTTCATCAGACATCAGCAAAATGGCAGGTGTCGCAACCCAATCTTATAAACACTTCTACCTCATATAACCATGCGGCCTCCCGTTGGCAAACGTTCAAAGAATTAATGTTTTTGTATGCCTATTCGGCTGGTGATTTTAATGACAAAAGCTGAAAAGACTGCCTATTGGTCCCAGTTTATTTCACGTCAACTAAATAACAGCTTCCTCATAAACTCATTTCCACAATTCTCCAGTAAGCTTTTTAATTGCTCCGTATTGCACACAAGACAGTCAGGACGCTTGCTTTGTTTTGCTGGCGCCAAACTGTCATTGATAAGTGTCAAAACAGGGGAATACCTATCGGGTTATGTCATGTTAAGAATTGAATAGACATGAAAAAACATAAGTGAATATATAGTACTAATTAACTGATGACAAGTGTTAAATGGCCTGAGATTTGAACCGACCATTGAAACATGACCTGACATCAGTTCTAACTAACATTGTCATCCTGCGTTTAAAACTGTTATTAAACCGAACGAATTGAACGACACATAAACATTTTATTAGACGAAAGATTAAAAAAAATTATAGCAGATTACCAGTTCCCCTAATGTTGCCCAGTTGCTAGTTGTGCCTTAGTAGGCTTTGATCCGTGATCACTGCTAAGCGGATTTGGTTTTTAACTATTTTTAGAAAAACAACTGGGAAAACAATTACGAAATCAATTACAAATCTTGCTCCCTAATGTTCCTCCGTTTTTTATTGTTAATTTGCAATTTTGGACACACATGAACTGTAGAAAACTTACCTGAAAAAAAAAAATGATGCCGGCGTGATTGTTCACTGCTTTTTGATCCACATTTCACATTTGTGGCCAGCGACAACAGGTCTTCGTGATTTGTGCGCTAAATGGGAACACCTTTTTAATTTTCAGGTGCAGTTAGGCCAATTACACTGAGAAGTTTTGACACCGCGGCGAAATTGTTTATTAACGATTTCCTTCGTCATTATGACTATTTTAATAGGCGATTGCATTATGGCCTAACTTGGGCAATTTTTATTTAAACCCCACTGTCGCGGTTTAATACTTGAAACAAGACGGGAGAAACTAAATGAATTCTGGTAGTTGTGGTCAAAGAAAGAAACCGTGAATGTTTGTTATTACTGCCGAACAAGTGTGACGAGTTCATTTGAAAACAGGAAGTATAATTAAATTATTTAAGGCTGGAAATGAAACGTTTAATACTTAAATAGGTTTATTTTAAAAAAGTAAAAAACTCGAGCAAGAAAATTGCTTTCCAATTCGTGTACTAGTTACAAATTTCGTTCAGTTTTCGATGTCAACCCATATTAAAGGATGGTCAGTAGTCACATTACAATTGAGTTACTCATTCCTTGTTTTCAGTTTCCACATTACTAGTCAGCTCAGAGTGTCACTCTTGCTAGCCTCCCGAGTTCGCTGCCAAACCACTAATGTGACAACCATTAGAGTGCGTTACAGTTTCACCGAAAGCTCTGGTGACGTGTCTTGAATGCTATTCAAGGAATGATATTAATATCGGCTTTGCTGAAGTGAAGTCAAGAGAAAACGGTTCTGAACTTGTCTCACATCATGACACCTCAAGCCATTGTTATCAAAGCTCTCTTCATATTATCACTTGTTTCCCTTGGTATGTATTGTTACGACTTATTATTTAATTTATTTCAAATCGATGACAAGTATTAAAGTTTCTTCCTTAGGCNTTCTTCCTTAGGCTACCGCATTCGCAGTTAAATTCCGAACCTTCGGGTCCAAAATCTACCGTATTAATTGTTTAATAAACGTATTGCCACGAGATGGTTTAAAATTCAAAACACGTTCTCGGGTTCAAAGTTGGTATCTTTGTTCACTTTTTTCATTTTCCAAAGTCACGAGATTCAGTTTAAATTTGGCAATATTGATGATCTTGTAAAATTCAACTGATTTTCCACAGAATGGTGCATTTTCTATCATACAAAAAGTAGTTTCGGCTCGAGCGACTATTTTCAACATTTAATTATTGAGGGCCTTCATACAGTCGAACCTCCGGTTGCGACCACCTCTCATAAGCGTCCACCTCTCCTCAGCGACCAGTTTTCCAAAATACTAAAAGTTTCCAAGTCAAATCAATATATTTGAAACCTCTTGTAAGCGACCACCTCTCATAAGCGATGGCGACCTCTTTTAGAGCTAAAAGTTTGAAATTTTCTTTTGATTTTAACCTCCTGTAAGCGACCACTTGGATAATAAGGTGTTATAACATTATCACATTCCTGCCGGGTAGTACAAGGGACGGAAATTTCTCAATGGGAAGTATCGGAGTTTTTCTCGACACTGACTTTTCACAAGAATATAACAGTTAAAACATCGGGTATGTCTCTGCAATTACCATATGGTAATGAGGTAAAATTCTGACCCAATATGGTCTAAGCTCTCTTTAGCGACCACCTTCCGTAAGCGCTTACGGGAGGTTCGACTGTATAACAGAATTCGCACAAGCGCGCTCTACCGTGTGAGTTCAACGTTGATTGAAATACAAGTTCAGTGTATTCAAAAACAACTCCTTCATAATGTGTCTATATCTCAAGAAGCTACACTAGCTTTTGTAATATCAGGAAATTAGCATACAAGAAAAACAACTGAATCAGTTTTTGTGTTAGTTCTTTCACGCATCAGGACTCTTCTCTGGATTAGCCGGAGCCGTGACTTCACCGTGATGGCCCGTCACATGGCTCTTTCACACTCGTAACCCAAAGGCGCTATAATTTCACGTCTCTTGACTGTCTGAAAATGACTTTACAAAGCCGAACTCTTTTATTTTGGTGGACAAACGTTTGCGAAAGATTTGCATAGAGTTAAGAAAAACAAGAAGGGGTGGAAATCCTGTACTTGAAGTGGTTGCTTGTGGATGAAATAACAAGTCATCGCTGCAAACACTAATTCAAATATTTTAGATAACATTTTGCCATCTTGCTCAATGTTCTACCTGATATTGCTGTATTTCAGATTCTTGTGTTTGATATTGTGGGTGTGGGTAACCGGAGAGAGAAGGAGTCACGAACATTTCAAGGGTGGTTTTATCGTTAGTAAAAAATAATGATAAAACAAAATATAATAAAAAATATGAATTCAATCAGGGACTTTGAAATGAAGGATCCTGATGACAATCATCTACAGAGAAACTGTCTTCTTCTGATCCCAGATTCCTTCAAGGGAAATTATGCAGAGTAAACGAAAATGAAACATACGTTTGGAACGTCACTGTAGCCTATTTGTTTGATGTTTTGCCGCTTAGAGAATAAATAGGGAATATTGATCGTATGCATGTTACATGACGGTTATTAGACTGGGCGAGTTTTTCTGTATTTCACGTAAAACGTCTGTTCCAAAACGGCACTTATTTTAAATCATTTTCATCAGGTTTTCTTTATAATTATCTTTTCACAGGTCAAGCCTTACGTTGTTACTCATGTGTTAACTTGTACAAGAATGTAGAGTGCAGCGCCAACAATCCAGTACACTGCGGTAGTTCCAGTGATAGATGCGCCGTAGCAAGTTTTTCCTACAAAACAAACGAGACAAGGTTTGGACAAGTTGAGACGTTTTATCGCGAATGTACAACTGCTGCTTCGTGTGAAACCGCCACATCTCCGTGCAGAGATAACAACGAGGCGACCTGCGAATACAAGTGCTGCGCTGAAGATCTGTGCAACAACAGCGCTCGCTCTTTCATTTTCATTACAAACCTGGTTACCCTTGCTTGCTTTGTTTTCCTTTTGAATTGCTGAGACTGGTAAAAACATATCTTTCCTACCTGTACGTGTGACATCTTAGGCTTTTACAAATTATTTCTAACAACCTCAGTAGTCATTAACACATTTGGCGCCACCTTAAAAACTTTAATGCCATGCATAAACCTCAATACATTTTTTGAAAAGAAAATCGGCTGAACAATGATGAACCTTGTATCCTTAATCTTAACTAGCTGTAATAATAATTTTAATGTAAAGACCAGAGGTAAAAAGTGAAGTAAGTTAGGTTGTAAATCTTACCTCACATTTGCAAAACGTCTATCAGGAAACGCAAGGAAACTTAAGGCACTAAAGAAAAGACGCAATAAAAACTGTGTCACTTACATATTGGATGACGGAGCCAATGGTATAAGACCATAACGACTGGTGTCTTTCTCAGTGAGATATAAGTCATATAATGCCGTTACGCAACACGCGCACGTTTTTTTAGTATAGTACATGGCGACATGTACACGCTGAAAAATAACAGTAAAACCATGAGCATACCTCTTGCACTTGTCCCTCGCACCCCCACCAAAATATAAAAGCTCTCCACGCCTCCACGACTGTACTTCATTTCCAAGAGCATGTCAGTTCACCCCCTTTTGTGAGTTTACACTGAGCATGCAAGAAAATATGGTTGTCCTAAATAGGTGCTCCAGCTTGCAGAATTAAGTCATCCCAATCAGAACTGCAAAAAGTATTATGAACCACGGAAAAACTTGAGACTGATTAAATGGTTTGAGAACTATATTATCAATTACAGAGGGGATATTACGTGGCCGCATGGAAATGCGAAATTTCTCTTCGAGTGTTGAAAAATATTTCACGAGCGAGCGTAGCGTGCGAAACAAGGGACAACCGGAAATACATCTGTGTTAGCTTGTGTTCGCAGGCTTGTGAGTGCAGCTAACGAGTAAAATATTTTTCAAAATGAGAAGATTACTGAAGCATCGATTTAAAAAATAAAAATAATTGCACTAAAATTATTGTCACTTTGCGCTATATATTGACGCGCTAAAGGACTCTTTTTAGTGGTATGGGAACGAATTACGTGCAAGTACAGTTTCGAATCTATCCCCGAGTATAGTGGGGACAGAAATACTGCCCTAGAAAACTGCGCATGTGCACTACCCACACTTCAATGCGAGGTGCCTCGGCTAATGTCACAATGGTGGACGAAAAGAGTTTGGCCAAGTAGATTTCCTGTACTTTTTATTTCATTTACGTTTAACGATCCTTTACCTCGCCGTTTGATTCTGAAACTTTCGATGCAATAAGGGCTCATCGCCGTGTTTCCCGGTACGGGATTTTGGGACGCAATTGGCCGCATAGCTAGTAAACACATCAAGGTAGTAACGGGGACTCGCTCTTCGAAAAGTCGTCCCAAGATTTCAAACTGCAAAGACGAAGAAGAAAGTATGAATGCGACAGAAAATGAAAGTGATCAGGAGGAAATGGACACGAAAGAAGGTATGTCGTATAACGGTGGTTTATACCTCGCCCGGACTTCCACAATGTTTGAATTGTGCGCATTAAGGAAGCTAGAGTAGCTTGTTACTTATAGGATTTTCAAATGGCCTTGCACACGCGTTTGATTTGATTTTTTTCTCGTTAGATGCCGGTGGCGATTCTACCGTACCAAATGGACTTTCTTCTCCAAGCGAACCACAGGATGTAGTGATGGAGGAGGACACTGCGAGACCTGAGGGCTTTATTCGTTTTACCGTGCAGAATTTCAGCAAACTCGATAAAGCAACCTTGAGTGACCCCATATACGTGAGGAATTTACCATGGTAAGAATATCAAGTTGATACAAGTTGTCAAAAAAACTAGGGAATTGTTGACCAGATTATAACGTGGGTGTTTTATATTGGTTAAAATCACTTTAAATTGAAGAATGTGAAAAATCCCGTCCTGGGAACAACGTAAAGTTTCCCCCGCAATCTGTGAAGTTTATGAATTATTCATTCAACCGTTAATTTTGTTATTTTATCGTGTTGCCAATCTGATCATTATTTTTAGCTCTGTTTACAACGACATCAATGCTTTCATGTCTGTAATTTACGTACAGACTTTCGTTTAAATTGATCTAGCTTACACTGAACTCCGAAAATAACAGGAGATTCATTTACATGTACTGTACTGTCAACATGAAAAACATTTTCCTCAATGTAATTAACCTAATTAGTTTTAAGATGCACTGAGGTTGTTTATTTGCCACCTGCATTCTATGTTTGCAGATTCAGTAGCTGGAAGTAAAATTGTTGTTATGAAAATATTAGCTTTCTTAGCCAACATATTGCCCTCACTTGTTGAGAGCAGAGAATATCTTAAGTTTTTGTTTCTCTATTGATCCTTGCATGGTGACCTATTGTTGTTTGTATAGGTAATCGTATGGTTTCGAGTTCAATTTGGAATTAATTTTCACGAGTGAGTTTTTCAAAAAGCTGAAATTGCACGAGCCGCTTCGGCGAGTGTAATTTCAGCTTTTTGGAAAACTCACAAGTGCAAATTAACTCCATATTGAACAAGAAAAACCATCTGATTACTTATTAATAATATAAACATGAAAAAATTGGTGGGAGGAAGTGCCGGAAGATCTTTCTTGATGCCATTCTTTTCTCATTTGAGAAAACCTTTTTCAAAGTTTCAGCACAAAATTTTCGTGATCATTTTACTTAATATCATTTTCTTAGAAAAGTTCCTATTGTCTTTCAGTCAATCATAATTCAGAATTTCGATGTGTAATTTGCACTGGTGTTACACTTTTTGCACTGATGTTATACTTTTTGCACTGGTGTTACACTTGAACTGCACTGCTCTTAGCCAATCAGAATCAAGTAATTTTTTTATGTGTATTATTATGGTAAATAATGTATGCAGCTTTGTTTACATTTAGAATGATTTGAAATTTTGTAGTTGGGATAGTTACTTAACACTCACGTCCTTAACTAATTGTATTTCATAAATAAGGATTTTAAATTCATAGTTTTCAATCTCCCAGAACCTTTTGTAAACTGTTTCATTTTTTTGTGTGAAAGAGGAAAGAGGAGAAGGGGCTCGGACGGGGAAGACTGTCTAATTTCAGTTTTAGTTTACACGACTTACGTGATAACTATCTTTAACTTTTGTGATAAAATATACTTGTGAGTCAAATTGAGACCATGAAAATAGCACAAAAATATCTTTTAAGTGTGGGTAATTACTGCCAAGGAGCTTTCGACACCAGGCTCTGGTTGTTAATGCTGTCCACCAGATAAATCTCTATCCAGTAAATAACACAGCTGGTTTTGCTAACCCTTAATCTCAGCTTGGGCCCTTAATTCAGCTCATGTGACTGGGTCGTGTTTTCACCCCTTTGAACAATGAGTTCCCAATGGACAGCTGCAAAGTTTAGCCTTTAGGTGTTTCTCTTACAAATATTTTTGCTATTGTTGGTATTGGCTGAAGTGGAATGCAGGAAAAGTCTATAAAGCAAGGAGAACTATCTATAAAACTTCTTACTTTACTTCTAAGTTGCATGTAAGTTCTAACTAACAATCATACTTTATTTAAGTGACAACCTACCATGCCAGAGAATGAAGAAATGATTTGAAAGCAAATAAAAATCCACCAATCAAAACCCAAGGATACAACTCTTTGAGCCAGTTAAAGAAAACTTTGCTTTCTGTCATGTCCACTGAGATAATAATGTTGACAACTGTCTGTCAAGCCCTAAACCTCAGAGTTTGCATTTATTTGAAAGGCACAATAAAGCAAGAGCAAATTTCTGTGGCTTTTTGAGTCACATAAACTGCCTGAATTTCTTACATCAGACGTGTCAATATGCATTGACTGTATTTTTGTGTTCTAGGCGTATCATGTGTATGCCAAGGTACTCCAATCACGAGAAAGTCAAAAGTGTTGGATTCTTTTTGCAGTGCAATCCAGAAGCAGAATCATTGTAAGTGTGCTACATGTTTCAGTTGAAGGGGTGCATGGAATAAACCCCGAAGTGACTTTTGAAAAGTTTTGAGTTAGCTATGATTGAAATACCTCCTAACAATTTTTAGTGCCGAGTGCACTATTGGGATGGTTATGGGAGCTGCCTGCCGCTAAGGAACTAAGGCGCTATGGTGCTATGGCGCTATGGCGCTATGGCGCTATGGCACTATGGCGCTATGGCGCTATGGCGCTATGGCGCTATGGCGCTATGGCGCTATG